TTTTTTTTTTGTCTATGAATGGTTACCTACCTTTGAGCTTTCTATTCTTCGTTTGGATGGGCCTTTTACAAATTGAGAATGATTGACATGAGTGAAGACTTGTTGATTTTCTAATCACATGGTTAGACATCATGCAACAATATTAATATATAAAATCAAAAACTAAAAAAGATTAAAATGTTTGTATTATGGCATGAAGTAAACCAATATATATGGAAAGAAAACAAAGATTATTGAAAACAATTATCAAATACATTGTACATTCATCAAGAAAAAAAAATACATAAATATATATTCAACAAAGGTAGAAAACAAATTGTACACTCAACCACTTTTAGAAATATAAATTAAACCAAGAAAACATGATAACAAATAAACAAAAATCTATAATGTCCTCATCCCTGAGATTGCAACCAATTTGTGAATATCTCTTGTGTTAGATTGTCTCTTAATTGAGTCCAAGCATCAATTGGTTTAAAATGTGTAATCAAATCTTGATGTTCAAATCCATCTGATTGGCTACTACTTACTTCAACAATATTACTTTTAATAGGGTCAATTATCATTTCAAACCTAATAAAATTATGAAGAAGGCAACAAGCAATAATGATTCTATAATATGTTTTTATTGAATAAAATGACCTTCTCTCTTAAAATTATCTATCTAGCTTTCAACATACCAAAACATCTTTTGATATAATTTCTTGCATGAAAGTGTTTCATATTGAAATATTTCTGAAGGGTTGTCGGTTGGAGTTTTAGCCTTCAATCATTTAGATGGTATCTTTGACCTCTATAAAGTGCCAAAAAATCTTCTCCATTTATATATCTTACATCACACAAATACCTATTCTAGTATAACAATATTAATACACATAAACAAATGTGTTCCATGCTAAACTAAAAAAAATATTAAATCTAATACCTTATGGGATCTTCAACCCATTCCTATGTGTATTAGCATCCCTTAACACTCTATCATTTATTGTAAAACCTTCTCATTCCGGTAGAATATATATGAATTACATTTCTAAGGTGCAAATACCAAGGACATTGGTAATAATTTCATTTTTTAAGTCTTGTATCTAGTATTGTCAACTATGTCTACATTGACCTTGATGTATGTCCCATCTAGATACCTAAACAACCTTTGAACCATTTCATATGTTATCTGTTGAATTCTTTAATATTGATTTGAGTTTTTTAAACAACAGGGTATGTAGTTTTAAAATAGAATTCAACATAGCATGAAATTGCCTACTAATTATCTTTTCAGATTTAGCTACTTGATGTTTCATAACTCTATTTTTTGTATGATGGGTAATGATGTGGAGGAAGCTAATAATCAGTTCTTCTATTAACATATGTCTAAATGCTTATATACCATTTCTGTTTGAAGCAAATAACATAATTTTGTAAAAATTTTTCTATCTATTTTAGTATTATCTACACACTGTCTATTGCTTTAAAAAATCATTGCATCTAAATTTAATTCTTTAATATGTAACCTATCATAAAAGGTTCCATTATAAGATACTTTACGTTGTTTTTTAAGTTTTATTGCAATTAATGTCACAACAACAATAAGTAATAGATACAACAAAGTCTCTATTGGTTCAAATGCAAAATAAGCATTGTAACCAATTGCATATTCTTTGTTAGTGATAAATGAGCCATAACTGTTTACAAGAAAGATTCTCGTTAATGTGGAAAACATAACTAAAAAGTAAATCTTTGCATATCATAAATGGAATCTATCGCACATCCAAAACCAAAACATATACCATCAACAAAATATTTGTGGATGAAAGAGCTAAAACCAAAATGAATAACACATTTGATATATCAATATCTTTTCAATCAATATATAAACAAGATCTAAACAAATAAAACAAGAAAATATTTGAATCAAACAAATAATGTAAAACAGATAATTATGTAACAGATAGTAGACACCATTTATTGAAAAAAATGTAGATAAACTGAATAGCACGAAGATTAAATGATGGACATTGAAGCTGATGTTAGTTGAAATAGAAAAGTATTTGCTTAAAACTCTGTTATGTTGAGATAAAAAACAGAAAGTGGTTTTTGTTATTTAAATATGATGAATACATCAAGTACGGTATTTTTTATGTAAAAACGTTGTAATAGTTATGAAAAAGATATTTTTCTGAAATTGATTAGACATTACAATGTTCATAATGTTAGAAACACGATTCTCAAGAAGAAAAAAATTTATGTTTATTTTCAAATAAACGGAGTAATTAATATTAAGAATTACTACATTAAATAAAAATGCAGTATTCTAATTTTAAAATTGAAATAAAAACTTACTGCATTTTTCAAATAAATGCAGTAAATATTATCAATTACTTTGTTTCTTTAAAAAATGCAATAATAGGGTTTGAACAAAAACCACACATTGGATAATTACTGTGTACTTTTTAAAAAATATAGTAATAGAAATAAAAATATGGAATATAAACCACACAAAAAACAAATACTATGTTTTGTTCATTACAAACATCGTAATTGAGTTAAAAAAGTTTTTAATTTCATTGTCAAATGTTGTTTTTCAAAAGGGTAACATAAAAAGAAGTAATTTTTTTATTTAAGTTAAATGTGAAACTTAAGCAACTTTTTATCTGAAATCATAAAATACCATAGAGAGATGTAAGTTTTTAATTCTGAAATTTTTAGGTACTATTGATAATATGACATTTTTTGAAAGAATCAGATAATCCTGAACCAAACGTGAGAATCAGATACACACAATCAAATTTTTGGAAATTTTTTTTAAATTTCCTTGAACTAAATGTCTCGCAAGTATTTGGCATTACTATGAAAAAGTATTATGAGTAATTAAAATATATAAAAAGATATGTATAAAAAAATATAAATAATAAAATATTAAAAATATATGGATAATAAAGTGATTTTTTTTTATTATAAACATATTTTTTATTGTAAAACACATCTCGAAGAGTTTTTTATTTGAGGTTAGAAAACTAAATTTTTAAATTGAAAAGACAATTTTTTTATTGATTAACATTGCATTTGGATCAAATGCAATTTTTTAACGTAAAAATTATTTTCAATAGCAATACTAACGAGGCCTTTATATATTTGAGTTTTAAAACAATTCATTTGAAAACCACTACAGGTACAATTCAATTATGAGCACAAGAAAACTATCCTTTATTAAAAAAAAATTATCTTATACGTCAAGAGGCAGAATTTTGAAATTTTATAAATAAAGTTAAAATGCTGGCATATATTTAAGAAAATGTTTCATTTAATGTGTTAATAAATATTGATTATAGGTCTAATTGGATGGACATTGTGATTAGTTTTAACGAAAAGAAAATAGTAATGAATGTGAGATTGATTATCAATGGTGAAATTAAAATCAATAATAATATTAGATTGAAAGTTGTATATAATAAAAAATTTAAATTATTTAATATTTATAAAATTTATTTATAATATAAAATTTGTTAATAAATAATAAAATTTATTTAAATTATTTATTAATATATTAAATAATAAAATTTATTAATTATATTAAATTAACAAATTTGTTTTACACCTTTTAAATAAAAATAAAAAATTATAAGGATATTTTTATATAATAATAAATTTTAAAGGATAAAGTTATAAAAAAAACCCCATTGGCCAATCACCAACTAGACCAATATTGGCTAGTTGATGACCGGCCATTTTTCAATTGCACCGAGGTATCATTTGGCTACAGGAGTTGAACCGAGCACAATTTCTCGTTGCTCACTAGCATTTAACATTAATTTTTTTCTCTTAAAATGTTTTAAATATATAGCACTTTTTTTGTCATAAATAATGTTTGAGTTTAATATTTTGTACTTTTTTTTTTTTTACTTTTATTCATGATGTTTTTATTTCAAAAAAATATGATATTTTAAATATTTTATTAAATTAAATATCTATGAAAATATATTTGAAAGTATTCATAAGGTAGACGGAGAAATTATAAAAGAAAAAAGGGGCATTTTAATTTTTTTTTAAAGAATAAGATAAAAAATTTTGAAGAAAAGAAAAATCAGAAAACAAGCATAAAAAGATCTACTTAATTATTTTCCATCCATAAAACGACAACAAGAATTGGAGTAAAAAGATAGGTTAAATGCAAAAGCATCCCTCTAATATATATATTAGTTTAGTAATTAAAGAAACAACATTTTTGTTTGGTATCCAAATTTTTATTTCTTTTACTATTTTGATACTTTAATTGTTAGTCAACTTATTTATATGGTCTTAATATCTAACAAAATTATGATATTTGGCATAAGTGTTTAGTTTTATTTATTTTTTTGTTATTTAAATAAAAAATTTTATGATATATTTTTAATTCAAAATTTAATAAAAAAGAAAAAAAAAGATTTAAAGAGATAAAAAATAAAAATTTTGGTGACGTAAAGATGGTTAAAAATTTATGACACGTATCATGAATTTATTAAATATTTATATCACATTAATTATTTAATTGATAGTAATAATACGAAATGTAAAATTAATTAATGAAATAATTGATGAAATATCAAAATAAATTTTTTTTTTTAAATATTAAACTAAAAAAAATATAATACAAGGTATTTTACATGTTAACAGTAAAAAATAAATAAAAAAAGGTGTACTTACTTTTTTTTGGCCAATAACCAAAAAAAAGGTGTACTTAAAAATGGGAAAAGGGTAAATTAGGGAATATGAACATTCAAAAAGAAAGCACAATGGGCAACGGCAATCCGCAATCCCATCTCTTAAAGTGTTTCGTCTCTCACATTCTCACCGTTTCCGTATCTCAACACAAAACATCTTCAACTCTCGCTTTGACCATAAAAAAGTACCATTCAATTCTCTCTCTCTACCTATCTATCTGTCTTTAATATTATATTAATTTTTATTCTTTTAACAAGAAATTTTCATCCCACTGCCAGAAAAATAAAAAGACCAAAACCCAAAAAAAAAAAAAAAAAAACTGAAACTCTTTCTTCCTATCTCCCTTTTTTTCTTATTTTTTTAATTTTTTTTTGTGTCTGCTAAAACAACAGTGTATCTATTAGATTGATGTGTTTGAAAGTGTATAAGATTTTATCGGTAGACTTACTGTTTCACTTGTTCTTTACTTTAATCATTTAATTCATTCATTCAACTTTCAATCCTATTCTTTGTTTTTCGTCTTTGTTTTCTGGGGGCTTGGAGAGGGAAAGAGGACGGGATCGGACGGCTGCCGATCTTCTGCTCAGGTCCATCGTACAGTTAGGTCCTTCTCTTTGTCAGCTCTTCTCCCCACGTAAGTCTATCCATCTCTCCAACTCTCCATCTCCAGTTTCCACCACCTGAACTCTGCACAATCAATGGCTAAAAATGCACTTGCCTTTTTAGGCCAACTTTTCATCTCTCTCTTCGCCTTTTCTTTTTCCGTTTTATATTATTATATAAAATTTATTCAATCATTTCCTTATTATCTCTCTTTCTGCACTATTGCTTCTCTCTCGCTCTCTACGTTGTTGTCTTCCTTTAATAAATCTGCTCTTGCACTAATCCGATTAATTGTTTCCATTGCCTACTTACAATTACTTTTCTTTTTGTTTTTAATATAAGGTTTTATTTTTTTTTTCTAATGCTGTTTTTATTGCATGCAATGAAGCTTTCTGAGATTTTTTTTTTGTTATGGGTTGATTTATTTATCAACACTTAAAATTTTCTTGATTAGCTTAATATTAAAGCAACCGTTTTTATTCTTGAATTAAACTAATTTTTTTTTTTATCCTTTAGAAACTTTTAGCATGAGTTTTAAACTGTTATTTGTCTTAAACCCTACAGTACTTTTATTTTATTTTTTCCGAAAAAAAAAAAAAACAGTGTAGCAACTTCTGAGGATCAATGAGTTTATTTATATTTTTAATGGGTTTATAAGTTTAACTATGATCTGCATGTAAATCGAGTTTCACTTTGTTCAAAAGCTTTTATTTTTTTTCGGACTTAAGATTTGTTGATTCTCTGTATGGAAAGTGATTATCAGAAAGGAATTTGCATTTGTTCTTTTTATACAGTGCGTATGGAATCCTTAGTGGGTGTTATTGCATTTGTTCTTTTCATTTAGTTATTTTTTATGTCTGCTTTGATTTGATATTAATGTAACTTTTATGGTTGTTATCAGGAATGGTTTTAAGCCTAGATTTCATGGTAAAGCTCTTTGCTTTCTCATGGGTTTATTTTTTGTTTGCATTTAAAGTTTTCTAAGACATAAATTGAAGCCTAAATGCCTATTTACAAGCTTGATATTGCTGTTGTGGGTTATGATTTAATGATCTAAAATGTTTCTATTTTAGTTCAATGTGAGGAGTATTCAGTTTTTTTTAAAGAAATGCTGTTAAAACCATTTTAGTGGTCTCCTTGGAAAATTCTCTTCTCAAAAGAAGTTTTTGAGAGGTACCTTAAAGTTTGGATTCTTTTTATCTTGTCGTGCTGGTGAAATTTTTTGCTTTTTGATGATTGAAATGACCAATAGCCTTGAATATAATAAGAATATTAAAGCAACTATTTTGATAATTATTATGTGGTAGATAGATTACAATGTAGAATATCACTTTTCTATGTGGGAAAGTGGGTTGTCACATCATATGAACTGGTGTTGTTGAATATGAGTCTCAATTCTTGGGCAAGCTGTAGGCACCACTGCTTTATGGAGGCTTTCCTGGTCTGCTTCTATCCTTTACGTTTTCAATAGACTAGTATACAGTTTGTCTTTCTTAATTGGTCTTGCATTTTGCACATTCCACTCTAAACATGTGGCTTGTCTTGGCTGTCCTGGAAATTAAATTTCTCCATTTTAATGTTTATAGCTTTTGTAGTAACCAAATCATCAGCTGGAGTTAAGATGATATAGAAAACTAGCTGTGCCAACACACCAATAATAATGGTGTGAGGGCTTTTATGTATTTTTCGTTTGCATGATGAGAGATTTATATGTGCAGTTACCTGTAAAAATGATATAAAAGGTTTTGGTTATCATGGGACTTACATTGTGGCTGTACACCCTCCCATTGAATCTGCATGGATTTATGGGGAAAAAACTACTTTCTGTATATAACTTAAAAAAACATTGCTCAGTAAGAAATAGCATGGTAACTAACTAAAGGGAAACACTCCCTAAAAAGTACTTGAGAGAGAGAGAGCCATATATCCTTAGGTGATATTTACTGAATGTTGAATTATATCATGGTATCAGACTTAAAGCAAGTCCTTTCCAAAGTTTTTTTTTTTTTTTAACAAAAAAAAAAAAAAGAGATGGAAGTACCTCTTTCGGGGAATATATCTGATGGTAAAAGTTTGCCATCTTTTCTCACTTTTTAAAAAAAATTTTTTTATTGAATTTGTTGCATTGAAGATGTTATACTGCTTAGCCTAAGGTTGTCCCCCCCCCCTAAATTTGGTTAATTAAGAATAGTTCTTTTAATGATAGATCTAGTGAATGAATTTATTTTATTTCATATTCATATATGTTATCACCTTCTTTGGGCTTAATATTTTTAGCGCTGGTACTGCTCTTTTTTGTATGTACAGTATCTTATTTAGAGTAGATTTTCTTACTTAGTTGTAATGTCATGTTTAGAAATTCTCAATTACAATTCCCTTAATCTTACGTATGATGTTGTTCTGCAGTGAGCAAGTTGTAATTCTGAAACACTAAGAGCCTATGGAACCTAATGGTGATAGGAGAGTGAGGAGAAGGGATCATCTTGCCCAAAAAAATGGAGATGCTTATTTATCTTGTTCCGTTGATGAACTAGATCCATGGACTGCATGGGCATACAAACCTCGTACTGTTTCATTATTATTTATTGGTGCATGCTTTCTTATGTGAGTGCCCTGCATAATATATACTTTTAGCTGAAATTCAACTGTAAATTCTGCATATTTATCCCTTATTAGATTAGAATACATCTTTTGTATTGTTGGTCACCTATCTTTCCTTGTGCATAGAAACTTCTTTTTGGCTAGAATTTATATCTTTTGGTTTGAATTTATGCATATGTTTTTGTTGCAAATGGATGTCACACTTTTAGTTTTCATAAACCATATAATTGTCCACGGGTCCTAATTTTGGAACTTGTTTTTGTTGCATTTACTATGTTGTGGAAAAATTTTGTTATCCTAGATTGCCCAAGTAGAGCTTAATTATCATTTTGAATTAGTTTTTCTGCTAGTCTCCTTCCCTTATAGATATTGTTATTGCTGCTATAGTGTCACCAACATGCCTAGCAAATCAAGGTTTGTGAGCAAGGGGATGGGGTCTGTGTTTTAAAAAGGACACTATGGTTACAATGATGCTATGGTGTTTGAGAGTATTTTAAAAATTTTAAGAAAATATCATGGCAGCCTACATATATGTTTTGAATCTATATCATTAAACAAATGTTATTTAACTATAGTTGTTTCTTTTTCTTTTTCGATTTTTCCCTTATAAAAGGAACTGTTCGGTAAGGCAAACAATTGTTGCATTATCTATTTTTCTAAATGCTGCATCCTGATAATTTTACAGTTTTCTTCCATTTAAATAAGGTAATTTCTTATAATAGTGTTCTATAAATGTTTTCTACCAGGTGTACCCTGTACTGTGTCCTTAAGTTACATATCCCACTCTTTAAATTATTTTTCTGGATACATAGCACAAAACAATAAATAACATGCATATTTCTCTTTCTTTTTTTTTTTTTAAAAGGAATGAACCTCATTCACTTTTATAATTTAAAATTATATTTCAATTCTTATATTAGTATTTATTTGTTGTCTATATTTGTTTACCAGATGGGCAAGTGGAGCTCTTGACCCTGAGATCAGCGAATCTGGTGATCTTGTGACATCTGTAAAAAGGTTTCTATTTGTTTCTAATGGCATTTTACTGTTTTCGCTTTTTTACTTGCTGACATATTTTAAGTGGCTCCTGTGGGCTGTTTTTGTAGGGGTTTATGGGCAATGATTGCAGTTTTTCTTGCTTATTGCTTGCTGCAGGCTCCTTCTACGTAAGTTATTAGTTTGATTTCTTCTGTAGAACTTTGTCCGTTTAATTATTTTCCATTGGATTCTCTAGTTTTAGCGACTCTAAAGATTTTTGCTTGTTCTTGGCTTGTGTATCTAGTGGGAATAGCTATATATATATTTTTTACAGTCAGTCAACTTAGTTTCTAGAGAATTCACAGCTCTTTTGCTGTATATGACAGAAGAAACATTGAGTTCAGTTTTAAAGGAGCCATATTTATCATCTTGTCTCATGGTCCAAGCATCAGATTTTCCTTGTTTATTTGGCCCTTAAAACCATTTTAATAATGTTTGTCTACTTTGTTAACACGGTGCAGACTAAGGTGGTGTAGTCTCCCATTTGACTGAGTAAATTTACCTTGTGCATTTCCTTTGGTTGGTTGCATTAGTAGTAGCAGGTTTAAATCCCCCTATTTGGTATTGATTTTCCTTACAACTCTTTTGGTACATTAAGAAACTTCCTGAGAAAGCTAGAGGATTTATTTTTGTGTAACCTTTTAGAAACATAGAAATTTGAATTTTCCTTATTCAGAATACATATCTAAACAAAACACTCGATCCGTCGGAGGTTTTCATGATAAAGGAAGGTTGAAATTACCCAAGAGAATTGTCAATGACTTTCAGTTGTTTTCTCTAGGCTGTTAAAGCAAATGTGTTGTCTATGTGGCCTGTATATTCTGATGGTTGAAGAACTAAATCATCTATAGCATCATTAAGTGCTTTTACTTTATAAATATTCACAGTTTTATTGCCTGAGTGGCTTTATGTGCATCATTGTTTTACATTTTAAACGTGGTTGAACCTTATAATTGGGGGGGGGGGGGGGAGGTGAGATTTAAAGTTGGATTATGTATTTGCATTTCTATAAGATCCCTTTGATCTGTCCTATAAATGGTTTTGATGATGTCATAGCAATTCTATTCTGATTATCCATAAATTTTGTTTATGGACAACTTTGAGTTTAATCTGCATTCTTTTTGTTTTTTATAATCTGTGTTTTAATCACCAGCATGTCATATTAGTGTGGTTAGTGGAGTGTTAGTTTTATTGCTCTAACAGATTAAAATTTTAAACTTCTTTGCAGGGTCCTTATTCGGCCACATCCTGCAATTTGGCGTTTAGTTCATGGAATGGCTGTTGTTTACCTTGTTGCACTCACATTTTTGCTTTTTCAGGTTAATTTCCTTGTGTTCATCTTTGATTTTTTGCATTGTTTATTTATTTTTATATATTACACATGCATATTTGCATTCATCTATGGTAGCTTTTCTATTTTTTGTTGGTCGACATTATGTACTGCACCTGGACTTATAATTGTTAGCATAAACTCTTGCCCCCTTTACAATTTACAGCTTTTGGTACTGGTAAGTGTTAACATGTCATCAGTTAAGAATATCACATGATGCTCACCCTTGTGAATAGGATCTGAGGTGCACTACTTGCAAACATCAAATACATCTCTCTCTCTCTCTCTCTCTCTCTCACTCACTCTCTCTCACACACACACACACACACATGGAAAAACATGGAACATACATGTATATATGCATAAAGGGTTGTAACTCAGTAATGTTCTGGAATGATTCTGTCCACACACAAAAGTACAAGTTGTCATCCAAAGTTGAATTAATGATTAGTGATGGTTGCTCTCAATTCTGCTTTCCAGAAGCGTGATGATGCTAGGCAATTCATGAAGTTTCTCCATCCTGACCTTGGTGTAGGTACTGTGGTTCTGGCTGTGAAACACTTTTAGTTTCATATTTGTTCTTCTATTATAATTCTATTGAAGTTTCTTGATTATTTTGTTTGCATCTTCATGCAGAGCTTCCAGAAAGATCATATGGTGCCGATTGTCGCATATATATTCCTGAAAATCCCTCTAGCAGGTTTAAGAATGTTTATGTATGGATCTTCTTGCACAACCTGGCTACTCTACTTTAGTCTACTTTTTTTAGAATCTTTTTCTTTAGGTAATTTTTTTATAGTGCATGCTTGAGCCTGTGTTTCTTGATGCACTTTACTATGGATTTCTATTTTCACTCTTTTAATTCTCTTATGTTTTAAAAATATTATTTCTAGGAAACGCTGTTTGATGAATTTGTTCTAGCCCACATCTTTGGTTGGTGGGGCAAGGCCATTTTAATCCGCAATCAGCCACTTCTCTGGGTCCTCTCAATTGGATTTGAGTTGATGGAGGTTAGTTTTTTGACTGGACATGCTTATCATTTTTCTTGTTCTGATTTCCCATATAGATGTGTTATTATTGGAAGTCTATGCGCTCCTGACTGTTTTGCATCAGAAACTAACTACTATGATGGCACATACAGTTTACCTTCCGACACATGCTACCCAACTTTAATGAGTGCTGGTGGGACAGCATTATTCTTGATATTTTGATGTGTAATTGGTTTGGTAAGATCCTGCATTGCCATTTTCTTTTTCCTTTGTTTTTAAATTTTCTTTCCCTTTGTTTAAACTTGTACAGGCTGTGGCATACTAGATTGTCTGCTTTTGAATCATTAAAAGTGATAATGCCATGGATGTGTGCACAAACAACTGAACAATATACATTAGCTGACTGACCTGTTTCTGGGAATACTCTATTTTGAGTTTCATTTTCTATCTTCCAAATGTTTGTTAGAAAGTTTATATGCGGTGTGATAAAATAAAATATTTTGTTGGTAGGGATCATATTTTCTGCTTTGATATTCTCAAGTAGCATTTCCTCCAATTCAGATTAGTTCTGGAGTTCACAGCCCCATTATTTGGTCATTATTTGTTTCTAGCTGTATGGCAAAGGGAATTTTGCAGCCACCCTATTTGTTATTTCTGGTTCTGCTGATTTTTTCATGTATTTGTTGATGCTTCTATGAGAAATGTATAGACTGGATCATGAGGTTATGATGTATCAAGGCATTGAATAGTAGCATATATGTACACTGACTACATGGATGAAAGAGGGGAAAGTGGAAAGGCAGTGTTTTTTTCTAAGAAAAAGGTAGTTTTAAAACCAAAAAACACTTTAATTGAAATAATAAATTTAAAATGGATTCCAATCATGGTACTTAGGAAGACAGATGACTAATAAAATTCTATTTAAATATGTTATTTTATTCTTTTGTTAGATTTATATGTAATTTTAATAGCTGAATTAGTTTTACTTAGCTACTTACACCAAACTCAGTTACTCCTCAGATATAATAGTATAGATGTGGGTGTGGAAACCTTTATTTAGCCCTACTTATGATTTTAGTCCTCGGTCTGCTTTAGTGTTAATCTCTTAGTTAAGTTTTTCAAAACATGCAATCTAAGTTTGAATAGCAGTTTCTTTATGTCAAGGTTATCAATTATATTGATCCCAAGTGCTTAGTTTGTGCTGCATTTTTTTTTTTGGGTTGGGGGGGGGGGGGTTGAGCTTAGTCCTTGCTGACTTTATTTTGTTATTAGTTTCTGGTCTGGAAAAAAAGAGTTAATGATAAAGCCTATTTTGACAACATATTTGGTTTGCTTGTAGGTATTTGGGCTGGAATGCATACTGTTAGGTACTTTGACGGGAGAACTTATGAGTGGGTTGGTATAAGTCGCCAGCCTAACATCATTGGCAAAGTATGTTTCTTGTTGTGTAATTACATTTTATAAATGTTAAAACTACTGCAATATTTAAACCTTAGTCTGCTCGGAAGTGGAAATATGGTCACTTTTCCTTTTATGTATGGTTTCTTTTTTTTTTTTCTTTTGACTTCCTGTTTCTTATATTGTTCACTTGGCTTGGAAGCTTAGCCTTGGGCTTCATATTTTAATGTAATTAAAAATTAAAGTCATGCAATGGTCAATGCTCTTTGCTGTTGTTAGGTTAAACGAACATTAGGACAATTTACACCAGCACATTGGGACAAAGATGAATGGTACCCCCTGCTTGGTCCATGGCGATTCATTCAAGTTCTCAGCCTTTGCATTGTTTTCTTGACAGTAGAACTTAATACATTCTTTCTAAAGTTTTGTCTCTGGATTCCTCCTCGAAACCCTGTGATTGTGTATAGGTTGATCTTGTGGTGGCTAATAGCAATACCAACAATTCGTGAGTACAATTCATACCTCCAAGACCGGTACACTCTTTCTTTCTCCATTTGATTTGGATGCAAAAATACATAATGATAGAAAATGCTAATAACCCAATGAAGATATTTCTTGTTTCACCTAAAAACACTAGTCAATTTTTTTCAGAAAACCAGTGAAAAAGGTTGGAGCATTTTGTTGGCTTTCCCTTGCAATTTGCATTGTTGAGCTTCTCATTTGCATCAAGTTTGGACATGGTATGTTCCAATAACATGCAATATTTTAAGATAGTTGGTTTGAATTTATCTTAATAGTTTATATGCTAATGATAATGGTTTCGAGGTTGATTTCTGTTTTCCATTTTCCAGTTGCATTAATCTCTTATATTTTTCATAGGTTTATATCCCAAGCCGATGCCAAAATGGTTGGTAATTTTCTGGTTGTCCATCGGAGCGGCTCTTGTTTTATTCATTCTCATATGGTCTTGGAAACTGCAGCAGAGCTACAGCAAAAAGAGACGATAATTTTGGAAATGCAGAACATTATTCTTTGGTTACTTACTGTTGATGTGAGTACCCCTCAATTGTCTGTAAATGCGAATATCACTGCATAAATTGTAAATGCTTATAACTTAGGTATTGGATCTCAGATTCAAGTTCAAGATATTGATTCTTTGTTGTTAGGATAGTTAGAGAAATGCTTGTATGTTGAAGCTCGCAAGTTCTGACTTTGCCACCATTTACCAATGGGGCAAAATTTTCCGAACTTGTCTTGAGTATCAACTGATTCAGATTTAGAAGCTTTTAATGATGTATTTCTCATTTTTCAGATGCCGTTTATTTTATTGGATTTTGCCACCCTTTCACTTTAAAGGTTTCTGCTGAATTTTCCAACTCTGCAATGGGGTTGTCTTGCAGGTTCCTAGAATTTTCATTTTAGAGCAAATTCATGGCAGATACAAAAAGGACTAGCCAAACTAGATTAATACTGCGGCTAAAATTACAATTGAAAGTAACTTCGTCGTTTAGATACCAAAATATCCCTTAAATATAATTAAAAATTATCATTTCTATTATCTTATTGTAATTAATTGAGGTGATATACGATTATGTACATTCGATTAAGTACCTCCGATAGTGGAAATTTTGATGTCGTTAACTTTCTTTGACAATTAAGAATTTTATCACTGCGAACAAAATTAATGGAGAACAAAAGAAAAAGAAAAAGAAAAAGTAAAAAGGTTGTGTTTAAAATTTTTTTTTGGTAGTGAAGAGCGATCGTATGCTTTACATTATATTAAGCTCGTGGTCTAGACATTTCCTTAAAATCACCATGCAAAAACTCAAGTAAGCCATTTGGAGGAGAACAAAGCAATTCAACTCAAAATTTGCTTTCCTGAGCCATAACTAAGAAATCCGCAAAAATAAAAAAAAATAAAATAAAAAAAAAATAAAAATAAAAATCCAAACATGTTTCTCTATACACATGCTTCAAAGATCAAACCCAATCCCTTCTCATTAAATTCTTACATTCATGAATCACTTGATAAAGATAGTTTTTGTTATTTGGCGATTGCAAAATCTTCTGAACAGCTCGACAATGATATTTTTATAACCAAAATCTCAAGCCACCAACGTACCTATATAGATAACATAAATTTCGGTCCTAGTAATTGAACCATGATCCAATCTCCTCGTGAACCCGAAAAGCCAATCACCCCAACTATCCTTTGCATAAACCTCCTGCAGATAATCGACTCGGATTCATTTTGGATGCAGCATCAACATTCTGATTAACAAACCCTTTCGAAAGGCACTGCCAGGCAAATATAACAATTTGAACAAAAATTGATAGCCCTATATCCATAAACCCCTTGATAGAAGAAAAAACTTTTTGGTAAGCATTAGAAGGCTAGATAAAACCATCCTTAAAATTACTTTTATTCCTCCAAATCCATATATGCCAACATACAAAACCCAAAAAGAATAGAATATGACATATTATCCTCCACTAAAACTCCATTTCTACAACAATTAATATTCAATCAGTCTTTTAAAGATTGAGAATTGAAATGATCTAACTTTGCATCCTGCATCCAATGGGCCCGGATGGCTTGACATTCATAACAATCTCTAAGCACATGCAAAATATCTTCCATCTCCGCATCATATCTTGGACACCTAGTTGAATTCGAGTGTCGTTTTTTGACACAAGCAACTTGCTATGCAAAACCAACCAAAGAAAATGTAGGATCCTTGGAAGTAAATCAAGTTTCCACGAGTGCTTCCAATAGGAATCTGAAAAGAAATAACCCTTATGAATAATATGCTGATTTCACAGTGAAAATCCCCTTGGAGAAGCGGTCCAAATTGTTCTATCAACCTCATAGGGAATTGGAGGAATTAAAGAAATTTGATTAGCAACTTCTTTCTGCAAAAATTTTAACTGTGACAAGTCCTATTTGCCATTTACATACAAATAATCGCTAACCATATCATCATTCCTGTGCATCATACACTATTATCCATGCTCTCAGCCAAAGTTCTTCCACCAACCCATTTATCATACCAAAAGGAAGTACTCTGTCCATCACAGATTAAACGTGAATAGCCATTTTTCACCTCTTTACTCGAACAAATACTACGCCATTTGAAAGATGCTGTAACCTTTAAAGAACGTTGTAAAAAAAAAAAAGAAAACTGCCTAACAAATATTTGGACTGTATCACCCTAGCCCAAAGACCAGAATCGCCCTCTTCCAATTTCCACCCAAGTTTCAGCAAGGCAATATTTATATCGGCCGTTTTTCTAATGCCTAATCCACCAACATTTTTAGGTTGACAAACTTTACCCCTTTTCGGTAAAGGAACTCTCTTTCTATCCTCAACAGAACCCGGAGAAAATTCATACTAGGGCATCAATATCATTTGCCATTGAAGCTGGCAATTTTACTGTCTGCACGGTATAAGTGACTATTGTACTAGTCACCAATAGCACCAAGGTAGCCCTTCCTGCTAACTAGAGTTGATTCACTTTCCATGATGACAACCTATTGTTAATTTTCTCCAATGAGTACCGATAATTATTGCTAACAACCCTTTGAGAATGAATTGGCACCCCCAAATAAGTACCAAAATTCGTATAATGTTGCATACCCGAGTGTAGCCGAATCTCGTCCACCAAATCCAAAGACACATTAGGAGATGTAAAAAAATTTAAACTTACCAAAATTCACTTTTTGCCTAAAGATTGAACAGAAGGCATTCAAATAATCAATAATTACCTGGCGGTGCCTCACTAAAGCCTTACCAAATAAAATTAAGTCATCAGCAAAAAAGATATGGGATAATAAGGGACCTCCTCGAGACATCGAAATCGGTCTCCGTTCTCCTCTACCAACCGCCACCTCAATTATATCAGTGATTTTTTACAAACATAAAACAAATAGATATGGAGAAAGAGGGCCACCTTGTCTAAGCCCTCTAGTCAGCTTAAAATTAGATGTCTTCTCATCATTCCACAAAATACTCATCTCAGTAAAAGTAAAATAGAACGTAGTAAGTGCAATAACAGATCGAGGCCCAAATTTGATAGCACCCGTCATAAAAAATCCCAATTAACTCGATCAGAAGCTTTTTCTATATCAATCTTCATGATCATTTTGCCCCTTTTCCAATGCTTCCTACACAGAGTGCAACGCCTCTTGGACAATTATAATATTATCAGTACTCCGTCTACCAAAAATAAAGCTGCACTGAGTTGGAGCAATGATATCTAACAAAAAGGTTTGAGTCTACTCACTATAATTTTGGATATTAACTTCACCGAGACATTACACAAACTTATAGGTCTGAACTGCTTCACCCCTTTGGAAGATCCATTTTGGGAATTAAAACAATCTGACACCTTGCTTAGAGATTCATCAAAGTGACCCTTCCTGAAACTCTCCCTTATAAAACTACACACTGAGCTCTTAACCACGTCCCAATTTGACTGGTAGAAACCCGCTTGAAAATCATATGGACCTGGTGGTTTAAACGGAGCCATAGAGCAAAGAACCCTGTGTATTTCCTCATCCTTTGGAACATGCATAAGCTCATTTAATTGATGTTCATCAAAATAAAATTTTGACTTGGGACCATACCTCTTCAAAATTATCAATCAGAGCATCTGTCATGTAAACCTGTTTAAAAATAGTCCGTCACCATTGTATACAACTCCCTCTGATCCGTACACCAAGAGCCATCATCTTTCTTCATCGCCAAGATTCTGTTTTTGTTCCTTCTCACCACCGTGGACATATGAAAAATTTTTGTGTTACGATTCCCGAACTGAACCCAATTCGGCATAGATTTTTGAAACCACATAATCTCCTGTTATAATAACATTGTATGGTATTTAGAAAGAAGCTTCTCCTTCAGTTTGTATAAAAATGGATTCGGTCTCTCCTCAGTCTAACCAGCAGATGTCTTTTCTCGCTTAAACACATTTCCAAAGGCAGAGGAATTCCACGCCTGCACTGCTTCTCGAAATTGACATAAATTGACATTTAAATTATCATTATCTTTCCAAACACCCTGTTAAAAATTAGAAAAGGATGCATGAGTTTGCCAAGTAAACTAAAATCAGAAAGGTCTTGAGCTTGGACGTGGTGTGAATAAACCATGCAACTTCACCAAAACTGGACAATAATCTCCATGCACGCGTGGTAGGTTACGAACAACAGCCTCATCAAAATGAAGTATCCAAGCAGAATTATAAGGAGCTCCATCCAATCTTTTTTTCTTATTATGCTTCCAACCGATTGCTTGTTTGTCCAAGTAAACTTGCAACAATAGCCTACAAATCAATAAGATTACGAGAAGAAATTGTTGGGCCTGAAGTGACAAACACAATAATGTAGAAGCAATATATCGTAATAAACCTACAGTAATAAATAACAATCAATAATTCAAAATATAAGAAAAATAAAGCATACTAAGATTTACATGAAAAACCCTCCAGTGTAGAGAAAAAAAAAACTATGGACTACTAAAAAAATCTTCACTATCAAATAATGGATATGCAAAATTTTTTTCTAACTAAAACTAAATCTAATCAACAACTAGAAAGATAATTGAAAAAATCTCACCAAATAGATGGCTCAACAAATACACTCTAAATTTGTTCTTAAATAGCTTTAAATAGGGTTTTCACTGTTTATAATGTAAAACTATAAATTATAAACTTGTTGACAAAATTTTAGCTCAATAAAACTACGGATCAATTTTCGTTCAACCAGCTCGTAATTCTCCTTTTTCTCTATATTTTTTTGGCTTTTCTATTCCCTTTTAGGTGCACTCTTTCTCACTTTTTCTCATGCCAAAAACAGCCCCTTTTTATTTTAATATGTTGGGCTCTTTTAGGGTAACCTAAAACATAAGGCCCATGGTCTTTGAGTAGTCAAAACCATGGGGCTGGACCCTACGTTCCTAACAATTTCCCCCTAACCTCATTAGGAGGAGATTTATCATCACAGCAATTTCATTTGGAACTTACCTTGGCCAAGGAACTCATTTTAGCTAAGTTATTATAGAGCTTAAGCTTTTTCCTAGGAAATGTCTTAGTCAACATATTTGCTACATTCTCATTAATATGGATTTTTTTCAATTACATTTGTTGTTTCTCAATCACTAAACGTAACTAGTGATATCTAACATCAATGTGCTTTGTTTTAACATGGTACATGTCATTCTTACTCAAATCTAAAGCACTCTGGCTATCACAAACACCATATACTCTTTTTTATGCAAACCCAATGCAAGAAGAAAACATTTCATTCAAAGCATT